TACTGGTGCAGGTGCTGGGGCAGGTACCGGCTGTGCATCAAGTGCGCCCTCTTTCGGAGGTGAGGCAGGAGCAGCTTCCTTTTGAGGGTCTGCCGGCGGCGCAGCTTGATCCTGAGGGATGCCTGGAGGTCGAGGTCTATCCGGATGAGGAGGCACATAGATTGGAGCTGGATTTGCCAGCTTGCCGTGAGGATGTGGCGTATCTGAGACGCCTTTGAGAGCTCTGAAGATGGAAGCTTGCTTATCTATGAATACCGACAAGTCCGTGTAGTCCCTATCCCCTTGATATTCGCCTGCTTGCTGCACTCCAGACCGGTACCTGCGAAGCGTCGCGTGATACACGTCTACATCAGCGTCAGCGTCGGAAATGGCAATGCAACTCTCAATGTGAAGCCGCGCTCGCGGGCTAGATTGCCCACTCACACTGTCAGCCGAGGCAAGTGCGGCACGTTCTGCTCTGCGCAGATGTCCCTCTGAGCATTGCAGTCCACCTGTGCGAGCGTGAAAGGCGCATCCGGGTAGTCCGTCCTCAAATGATCCTTTGTGCTGACGAGCTGATCCCAAGTAGGCAGAAATGTCTTGCAGTAGCTGCAATAAGGACTGTAAAATTCGATCAACCAAGCCCCTTCTTTGATGGACTCGGTCCAATTGGACGCTGTCAGCTGCAGCAGCCCGGCATGAGTCGCTGCCGAGAGGCTGGTGGTGGTGCCGACTGGGGAGGTGAAGCTAGCCGCTGGAAGCACGGCAGCGAGCAACCAGGTTGAGAACATGGACCGCAACAACATGTCTCTCTATCGCAAGCTCGGAGCTTTGATGGATGGATGGTAAAGTGGGCCAGGTGTTGCAGGCGTGGAATGAAAGGCACGGGGACTGAGACGATGTAGGGGCCCTCTTAGGAGGCGCTAGAGTCAAAGCGGAATGCTGAATACGGCAAGCTTGGGGTAAAGTAGGTGACAAGAGTGAGTGAAGGTTCGACGAATCATGTGAGTCGAGTGGACGTCTTGGCTGACCATTCATTCACATTCGACTCGTAACGCTTGATCCTCATCGACGATGGAGCTGTACGGTATGCATGGAATGCGCGACCCCTTGGCGCGCTTGGCATGGCCTTCCCCTTGGCGCGCAGCTCTCGCGCGAGAGAGAGAGGTGAACGATGATCACGGAGATCCGCGGAGTTGGAGACCTATATAGTTGCTTTGAGTTGCTGACGCTGACACACACGCACGCGAACAGGACCCTGAACGAGCAGGCCGCGGAGGGATTGGATCACTTGACTGACCATCTGCGGACACGAACACCAAACAAGCTGCAGAAAACCCGAAAGAAGCATCTGTTTTCACTCAAGCGCTCACACTCACCTACGACTGTCACTTGCCTCTGTTCGAAAGCGACAACTGTGGGTGGTGAGCTGCGCTTGCTGTGCAGCCTGTGGTAAGAGATCTCTACTCCCTACACTAGCAATCAGAAAGGCGCATCGCATCCATAAATTGCGTTGCGCGCATTCAGACGCCCCTGCATCCATCAAGTCTCAGCTTTGTCACATCGATCAGAGAAGAGGCAGGGTGAGCGTTAGAGGCACCAGCACCATAGATCGTGTCTCACTTTGCCATAATCACCTCATCTGGTTGCGCGCTTGTGGCATTTAGCCTCAGCTACATTTATTGGTCAAGAGTTCTAGC